TACGCGACGCGATGCGAATAGCGCGAAATAACAAACGCCGAACACGACGCTTTTTCTTATTCGCGAAACGTAATTGTTTCTGGATGGAATTCCTAGAATGGTATACTGTTGGAGTGATTATGAAAATTCAGAGAAACGAATATAATTTCCAAAATGAATTTTGTACGAAACGATAAGAGGCAAATCGTTTTTCTTTTAAATAAAAAAATCATTATAGAAAATTAAATTTCATCTTCCAAAACGTGTTACGTGGCATATTGTTATTAATAAACTCGAATCAAAAAGATTTTATTTTTATACAATAAATTATTGAACAATAAGAAATTAATCTTGATCCATCTCGTTCTAAAATAATTGATAATATATATTCTTGAAATATTCTTAAATATATGTATATATTGAAATTAAAAATAAAATTATTAAATATAAAAATCGGTTTATTATTAATTCATTTAAATTTATGTATCTAATTCTATAAATAATAATTATAGAAAAAATATTTCTTATTAAAAAAATAAATATCAATGATTTACGATCAATTAAAATTAAAAGATTAAATTTTATTGAATTAAATTGAATATTAATTGAAATTAATCGTTCTAAATAATTTTTAAAAATTAATTTTTTTTTTTTGTAAACGATAATTTTCTCATTCATCTTTCGTTCATATTTCTTTGATTAAAATTCTGCTAATTAAACTTGTTATTCGAAGCAAGGATTTGGTAACTTTTATGACAATTTCCATTGAAAAGACGTTGAATCGTTAATTCATTCGCACGTAATCGTGTTTAATCGTGTTCGTATTTCATATTATTGAATTACGTAGATCCCGTCACGATGATAACGAAGTTATGCATATCTTTGAAATCAAATTTGAATCGATGAAATTAGCGAACGTTCCTAATGCTTGATCGCAGGACACTGATAATCAAGCAATTATCAGACGGTATTGATTAAGTAAGCGTCTACGATCGTCGCACGAGACGACTCTCTTATTCCAATTAGACTCGTTATTAAATAGGTTCGTTATTCGAGTTACAAATGCAAATTAAACTTGTCACTCGTCGTTGCAGTTCGTTTGTTCGAATATAGAATTTGAAGAATTTACGATTGAAAAATAGATTGATATTTATTTGGATGTCAAAGGAATGTTCATTAGTTCGTGTCGAAATTTTTTTAATCGATGATAAATTTACAATGTGGAATGGAGGTTAATCGCGAGATTAATTATGCTTATTCGTGAATTTCTAGCGAACAATGAAAACTTTTCAACTTGTGTTAAAGTTTTCATTATTAAGTTAAAGTTCTCTTTGCTGGATCCATTAATCCAATTCGCCGGCCGATCTTTCCAGAAAACTTTATCTCGCTTGCAAACCGTACCGACTTTTCAACTTTTCAACTCGATTCATCAAAATAATATCAATCCACACTGTTAAATAACGAATTATATCTAAATGTATGTTAAACGTTTCTCAGAGAAACGCAAATGACGTTCTTCCATTCCGTTAAAGCTGATGCTCCACGTCTTGCTTGCTCTCGTTTTTTCATCGTACGTTCTCTCACGTACGATCATATCGAGGCAAATTCGTTTTAATCAAAGGGGGTGCTCTCATTCAAAGCGTATTTTTCACACGCATATTGATATATGCGCTTTCAATATATAATTTCATTCATAAAATTTAATTTGTCCTATTATCTGTATCACGATTTGATAAAATATTTAGAGAATTAGAAGGAGAAAGTAGATCCTCGAACCCTTCCGTTCCATTTTAGCCAAGAGAAGGGAGGGAGATGAAATTCGAGAATCGAGCACGTTATATCGTAAATTTAAATATTTGCTTCAATTCAGTGGAGGTTTAAACTTGACTCGAAACTTGTGTAAAGTTATTTAAGGGAATAATTAGAAATTTAATGCTTTGTGCAAGAGGTTCAAACGGGGAAAATTGGTAAATTGAATCGGTAAACGTGTTGTTGGAACTATTTCGCTTTTCCAAGGGATTAAATTGAGAAACGAGTCACGCGGGGAATCGAATCAACTTGTTGTTCGGATGTTGTCTTCCTTTCTTCGATACTTTCTTGAATACTTGAATACGAGGTAACGTAATTATTCAAATTGGATCACGGATGTAAGATGATTTCGAGTCGCTTTGTTTAAAGAAACAAGAGACCAAACGATCGAATCTTTTTCTACTCTGCAAAACCAATACAATACGATTGTACGAAATTCTTTTCAACAAATCAAATCAAAGATACGGGAAGCTTCTTATAATTAAGAGAATTAAAAGAGGGGGAGAACACTTTCGAAATCTTTCCTTGTTCCAATCGAAAGAGAAAACTTTCTCGTGATTCTGTTGCGAATGGAAGCATAGAAAATCGGAATTCTGTAACGCGGGAAAGAAATATCGGGAGCAAAATGTGTAGTTAAAACGCTTAAACCGCTGAACGTAAGTGCCAAACCATAGATCGTGGCCACGAGTTCGCTTTGGATCGCTTTCTCGGTTTACTCGAGGGAGAAGCATGCCACACGTTTGCTGAACGCGTAGAAACACGAATTCCTGCATCGTGCATCGCTCTTAATTGAAATTAATGCAATTAGCGTAAAGTTTACCTCGATTGTGGTAATTGAACGCAGCTGGATTGTAATGCGATTACCCTCGCCAAGAAAATTGGATGAAATTCCGCGGTGGATGGAGATTAGATTCGATTTGGGGAAAAAAAAAAAAGAAAAAAAAAAAGAGTGACTTTGATCGAAGATAATCGTGCTCCACGATTGATCATAATCGAACCGGCCTTTTAGAAAGTTTGTTCGAGAGAGAAACTTATTTCCACGGAACGGGATTAAATTTCGGAAATTAGGCAATCGAATGTTTAATTTTTCTTCTCGATATATTTTCGAGATTTTCATAATCTTTTGGAACGTTATTTTTATTATCTCTTTACAGTTTAAAGGTTTTCATATTTAATTAAATCCCTGGCAGAGGGATATCGAAAGGGGTAAAATAATCGTAACAGAGAACTTTGAGTGAAATTCTTTTCCTCTTGAACGCAGAGAATCGATATGTTGTCTCGAAATCTCTTTGTTTATCGCTCGTGGAACTCGTGTTTCCCTACAATTCAGGAATTTCGTGTTCGAAAATTTCAATCGTGTTTCCAACCATCCCCGAAAATATCACGATGTTTACTCGACTCGATTTTATCCTCGATTTTATACTCGACTTTTATTGAATTCTCTCTCTCTCTCTTTCCTCCCTCTGCCAAAGATATTTAAGCGTATTCTCTTCTCAATGGGGAAATTTTCACTCCTCGAGAGGAAGATTTCTTTGACAGGTCACCGTCCATCGATCAACGATCGATTCGAGCTGTCTTCCGTCCATCTGACGGAAATTCATCGCTGTAAAAAGTTAATTCAGCTCGTAATCTTGGTTCGTTGATGGTGGTGGATCGTGTTTCAAGTTGGCATTAAGGGGAAGATTAACTAGAGCGAATGGGATCAACCGGTTCTTGCGTTTTTCTTTTTTTATCTTTCGTCATGATCCCCCAGTTGGACGATTTTTCTCGAACGATTTAATAGGAAATCATAATTTATCGGCTATATAATTATGCTTCTTCATTATCCGGAGAATAAAAATTTGTTATATTGTTGTTAGGCGAAAATTGTAAAATATAGTGTACAGAGAGCGTTTATATATTATCATAGAACAAAAAGAGCAATTGAAGTTTACCTCGAACGAAACGAGACAAGGATAGAGCGGCAAGACGATTTAATAAATAATAATTTTTCGTATACTTTTGTATTTGTTTTTGCTGGAATCGACTCTCCACGAATTAACTCCAACTTATTAATCGCTCGATAGACGAATAACGAGGACAAATAGAACGTTTTGAGAAAAGATGATATCAGTAGTTTCATGGAGAAATTTGAAACCTCATCATCTCCAAACGAATTTCCATTTATTATCCTCTAATATTCTCATTTCAAAACATACATTATGTTTGGCAACATAATATTATAATTGCTTAAATAATTTAATTTTAGAGGTTCGCTTCCACGAAATCCACGAAACGATTCGAAACGTCCTCTAACGTATTTCAGTCGAGGAAGTTCGAGATTTCTCCCGGTTGGATGCGTTCCACGCTCATTAACGCGTACAAAGAGCACACTTCAATATATAAGTCCATCTTCTTTGAGCGAAAAAAAAAAAAAAAAAAGAAAGAAAGAAAGAAATCTCCGCGAAAGAGGTTGATTAAACACGTTTTCCCAAATAAGCGACTTGAGCTCGGAGACCGTTTTCCTCGGCCTCTTTTATTGCATCCCTGCACCTCTTTCTCTTCCGTTTCAATACACACCCCATTGTCTCGCGTGATTTTTATTCTTGGATCGATATCGTACTTTTTCAAAAAAATTTGAACGGAGACAATATTCGTCTTGCAAATATTCGTGTACGATTTCCTTATATCAAATTTTAATTATATCAAATTTTAATTTAAATTTTTCTTTTCCTCTAATCAAATTTCATTAATTTCATTAATCAAATTTTAATTAAAATTTTTTTTTTTTCCTTTAATCAAATTTTATGGAAAAAAAGAAATTCGCATTAGAATACGTCACAATATTCTATTTTCTCTAATCAAATTTTATCTTTAGATTTTTCAAAATCACGTACGTATATAATTGAGTTAGAAGTAATCGTTGCAAAACATTTGTAAACAACTTTGAAAAGAAACTCGTTTTTAGTTAACGGATGAAAAAATTATTGCGAAATGAAACGAGTGTAACGCAAGATCATAAATATTTATGAGAAATTTATTTTCAAATTTTGGTTACGATGTAGCCGCTACGGTGTAGCGTGCCGTGATAGGAAGTTTAAATTTTATACTTCGACTCCGACTATTTTTCCAATTCCAGGAAGTCGAATCGTTCACTTCTGTGTTTTATGCGTATAATAAAAAGGTTGTGTGGAGCAATTCAATCTGACAGGACGCGAATGGATTTGTTGCAGGTGGCGAAGCTGTTCTCGTACACGTGGACTATGGGCCTGTTTCTATGCAAGTCGGTGCACTATATGCAGAGCGTCTCGGCTATTTGCTCGGTCGTCACGTTAACCGCAATGTCGATCGAAAGGTAAACCTCGTGAACACGTTATAACGTGTTCTACGCCATTTTTTTTTTTAAATTTATCTGCATCGCGAGTAATAATCGAATAGTAGAATATTTTTTTTTTTTTTTCGAATTGAAAAGATAATAGATTAAATCGACCCGAAGAACGAGCGATGATAATTTTAAATGTTTCTCTTATTAAATTGAGTATCATTTTTTAACTATTTAAAAAAATTTAGAAATATTTGAGAAAATTCTATTGTTCTATTTTTGTAATATTTTCTATGGTGAGCGTATTTTACGCGTAGCGTAGAAAGGGATCGAGGCAAATTTTTTTAAAAAAAATTCTTGCATTCTTGCATACGTGCTTTAATCTTAAAGGAGATATACCGTCGAAGAATTAAAACTCGAGGAATCCAGCACTGCTCGAGAACGTGCAGTTTCGCTTAATTGATGCGCTTAAACGAGTTCTCAGAAATTCAATTTTATTTATAGCTCCCCACGGATAGGTTTTCCCCCGATGAACCGCGAAAACGGTTCTTTCCTTTCAGAATCCTTCAATTCTTCCGCGTATACTATAATTTTAATCACCAAATCGCTCTCTGTTTTCTCGGAATTCTAATATTTCTCTAGAAATTAACCTGACACGCGCGAATTTTAAATTTCGCAAAGATGTGTTGATAAATAAGTGGTAAATAACGAACGAACATATTTTGAAATGGAGAAAGAAAAAGAAAAAAGAACAAAATTAGACAAAGTGTTTTGAATTATGAAGGAAATAGCATAAGTGGAAAGTTCTTTGTTACTTACGATTGAAGAAAAAGAATGAAAATCCGACTGAAAAAATTAATTGATCACTTTGCTATCCACTTTAATTACTTAATTCTTATCTCGACTCACGATCATCTCTACATTTATATTTCATTTTATAATTCAAACAAAACGACTGCCAACTATTTTAACGAATTTTTATTCTGTTCTTGCGCGTTCAATTTATATACCTGTATATAATCGACATAAAAGTCCATCTTCGAATTCCTATCCCAGCCGAAAGAATTTTCCATTCAACTTCACGTTAAAGAAGAATCCTCTGGTTCGAAACACAGAAGTCCATCCGGAATTCATCGCCCGCTTTTTTTCTTTTCAACGCCCTTCGAAGAAAGTTGGCGCAAGAACACGAATCGTCCCTTCCATTTCAGATCGGATTGGGAGCGATTCGAGATTGGGAAGCCTCCCTTTTATCCCCTTCGATTCTCTCGTTGCGAGAAATTATCCTCCCGTTTTATTGATAGATAGAGTAGGGTTGGACGAGATATCTCGCGTTTTGTATTCCATCGTTGCACACCATCGATGAGATATAACGAGATTTATTATTTGTATCCGTCAATTCTTTATTTATCTTTTTTGGCTCGTTACAAAATAGCGAGAAAAACATCGATTTCTTGAGAGATTTCTTCGTTGCAAAGGAGAAACTTGTCTCTTCAAAATGATCGAAAACAAAACTTTGAGAAACAATTTTTAAACCCCATAGAATCGTTTGAATTCAAAGAAAAAAAGACAACTTTATTTTTTTCACTTTGTACTACGACAAAAAGCAACGTTCTAAAAAATAAAATTCTATCTATGTAAAAGGAGAGGGTTTCTGTCGCGCTTTAGTCTATCGTTTTACGATTCTTTTTTTTTATTATTTACAAAGTCGCAACGAGCTCGAACATTGACAATTTTTTCAATTTTTTCTGAAAATTGAAATTTTATCGATTCGTTAATTCCTTGATCCGGCTTAATACGTTATTGAAGCGAGGGAATTGATCACACGATAGAAATATTTGCGTATAATTTATTATTAATCTCAAAGGTATATAATTACTTTATATAGGTCACGATGAAGAATACAAATATTTACGAGAATAAAGATAGCTATTGCACGTAAACAGAATTGGATCGTCCGAAATGTATCAAGCTTTTATTAATCTCACCAAGAGGATATATCGTCCTTCCGTGATTAAAAATGGCGGGATTAAGGGGGGGGGAGGGCTGTGAAAACTTGTTTGAGAATTTACAATGGAGGAATTTGTTGTTTCAGCTCGCTGATCACGTTCGCCATTCGTGAAACACCGATAAAAATAGGCCTCGCGCACGCGTTATCCAACAATTTCCTATCTAACTATGTTTAAAATTTATCTCGTCCTAAAGGAAATTGAATCGCCTTATCGTCGCCTACCTTTCCTCCTCCTCCTCCCCCGCGATATTAAATCGATCCATCCCTTTTCTTCCACGGTTTATCGCGACCATCCCCGTGGAAAGGAGATAGAAATCGTCCATATGTTTTTATTAGCGACACAGGGAGCCGTCGAAAGGGAAGAAGGGGGGATATGCTGGGGATATGCTGGGGATTTCGGTGATAGAAAACGTTTCTCGTCGAACTCTCGTTGAAATAATCTTTTCCCACGATTCTATTCCCATACGTAACGAGGACAAATATTTAGGAGGAGCATCGAGGATGATTAAGCAACTTATTGGAAAGCTGATTTATTTGTTAGCGGTTTCAATTTAATCATGGTCGACGATTGAATTTATAATAGCTAAATGCGAAATTTATTTTGATAATGTTACACCGAACTATATAGGAATAATATATGGATGGAATAATATTTAAGCCGTTGTTTGTTGTATTAAGTCCAAGTTATCGATAGGTGCAATTGGATCATTTGCAAATATTTCTTTGCTTTTAACTTTTTTCTTTATTTGCTTGTTCGCTAAATCCGCTTTTTTATCCTTTTTTTATTCCTCCGAATTTTTCGTTAATCTTCGAATCGTAAAAATTGTAAAATTGTAAAATTGCATAAATAAGGGAAGATAAATAAGAATCTTGGATTTTTCCAATGAAAGTAAGAAGAAAAAATTTTTTCAATCCGATACAATTATTTCGAAATATCGTAAAACACCAGAAATTAAATTATCAGAATTGATGAAGAAGAAATGAAATTATCAGAAGGAAAAGTAATTTTAGAAGCGTGACTGTTTAAATTCGGTCGCATTCAGCGACGTGGGTAGACGGTTGATTGATAGAGGATCTAGAAATATACGCGTATCAACCCACTTTGTATTCGTGGCTGCGCTTTGAACGAGAGAACGATCATAGTGGCAATCTCTTTTCGCTTAACTGCGCAGGTATTCAGTACAGAGAGAATAACCCGTAAAATAGAAATAAATAAGAGAAAGAATCAAGTTAAACGCGCATATCAAAACACCAAAAAAAAAAAAAAAAAAAAAAAAAAAAAAATAACCATAACCGTAAAAACGAAACGTTGGTTGCGATTTCGTTCAGTTTATCCCAATCGTTTTTCAATCATCTGATCTTTTGATGTCGAGCACGTTCGTTAGTGAAAACGTGAAACAGTAAGAAAGAAACTTGTCGCGTTCACTCGGCCCGGAATTATTTATATTTTATTTCTTATTTCTATTTTATTTCTCTAGCTCTTAATAAGCATGTGAAGATCGCATTGCACGTTAATACGTTCCATGCGGTGGCGAATATTGGCGGACTAATCAAAAATTCCTCTCGTGTTTCAGATATTACGCCATAGTTCACCCTATGCGGGCCCAGTACACGTGCACGATAAGCCAGGCTCGCAAAATAGTAATTACAACTTGGGTGGCGTCCTTCCTTCTCGGTATACCAATGATCTTCACGCAGGTACGCTTTCCTTATTTCGAAGAAATAATCGATCGATTTTAAGTTGATCGATTTTCTTTCTTGCGACAGCAGGAAGAAAAATAACCTGAATGTATCTTTCGTAAGATACGTAATTTGGAAAAGTGTTTTCGCTCGTGTTTTCTGATATTTTGAACCCGATTCTCTCGAAAAAATCGCATTTTTCACAAATAAATCGTTCTGCATTCCGTCTATGAGTAGATGTAATTCCGGAGAACAGAAAGCTTCTTACGAAAATTGCGTCGGTTATCAATCTCTTTTATCCAATATCTTGTGCACGCGAGACGAAGGGAGGAAAAATTGCCTCGATTTCCGATATCCCATTTAAAGGAATTGCTGGTCCGTGCAAATATGCGCGAGACAACATTGGTGGTCGCGGTCTGAGCGAGTCGACGCGCATCCCTCCTGTGTTCGTCTCGCGGCAAGAGACGCGTATTTATCAGAGCGTTAAGAGGTTAGTCGTTTCGGAATTCAGAGGAGGGAAGGAGAATCGATGGAGGGAGTGGAAAATTGAGCGAGTTCGTTCGAAAGAGCGTGGGAGGAAAACACACCCCTATTTTGCGCTTGGACGCGCTTCGAGCTACGGTTAAAACGCGACAGTGTCAGCGTCGTAATAAATTATCGAAATGTCGAGCGTTGGACGATACATTTTGATAAGGGACGAGGAGAGTCGTTTCACCTTTCTCCTGTGTGGCGGGCGAATCGAGGCGCCCTTGTGCCTCGAGGATCGCGACATGTAATTAAAAACGAGGGAGCGCGTGGCCCGGTTTCGATGAAATCTTTGTCTCCCCGCGTGAATAGGGATACGATACAAAAGGAAAGGAAAGAATTAATGAAACGCGACACGACTCGTCGCGTTGCGCGTGTCTCCCCAATGTAAGTGACACGAGCGCGACGAAAAGAACGATACGATCGTCGCTTCGCGACTCGTTTCAGATACGGTTCGATAAATATATCTTTACGCGCCAACTCGTAAAACGAGGATACGTATCTTGATGATTCGCTCGATGATTTCGATTAAAAATTCTTTCTGTGAATTCGAGTCTTCAATTTTGCCACGTTAGTTTCGAATTCGATCGCATTTCTCACAAAATATTTCTATGTGAGAAAATTATTTGATATTTGGAACGTTTAATGTATATTGGAATATTAATGGCAAATATTTGCGGTTAGATAATGGAAAAATTGTTTTCCAGACACACAAGGAAGTCGGATTGAGGGTAATCGCTTACTGGTGCGTTCGTGATTCGGAAGGTGGACTTTTATGGCGCGCCCACGAGGTTTATATGCTGGTGTTGGTCCTGGTGTTACCCCTAGCCGTGATGGCGTATTGTTACACGGCCATTTGCTGGGAGATTTGGCGAGTCATGAAACGCCGATACCACATGACATCACGCCGCGTGTAAGTCTCGCTTTTTTATTATTTTTGTTCAGATTTTTTTAATCACTTCGACGACAAATTTCTCAATATTTGTTCGTTTGGAACGTGGAACACGTGGGGGGGGGGAGGGGTCGATAATTTCAATAAAATTTACAAATTTATCTCCTTTCGTGGAAAATAATTTTCCCGCAATTTTTACGTAAAAAATGGCGATTAAGATTGTGAGAAAAATCCGTTGCCGGCTTAATAATCCGCTAGTAGATTGTTCGATCGAAGCAAGGGTTTTTATCGTATATTTTACGATGGAATCCATCGAAAATTGAGATCTACATATATTAATTCTTGAATTTTTAACGAGTACGAAATCGTATTTTAAATCGTTTAGCACTCTCGATTTAAATCCGTTTTCTGATTGAAATTCAACGTTATGTTATCTTTTACTTTCAATTATTTATTCTTCTTTTACTATTTAACGAAATTTTTCGATTCTTTAAAATTTTTAAATTATTGTTTTTTCATTATATATTTTTCATTCATATTTCATCAGAAATACGTTCGCTTGCTTTTAAACATCGACAAACTCGAAACTTTGTAATTTTCATTAATTATTTATGATTTTCATATTATTTTTATCGGAAATTTTTCTATAAATTCTCAGTATATATATTCTGAGTATATAATAATAAAAAAGTAAAAAAAATATCGTAATAAAATATTTATCCGTGAAACTTTATTTTCTGAAAGAAAACGCAATAGAAGAAAAAATATTATCGCAAAGTCACATAGATATTCGATATATATATGTATTCCATATAAAATTTATTTTGTATCAACATTTATTATTGCATCAAAAATTGCTGCAACAAAAGTAAATATTAAATACGAACGAATATATTACATTTTCGTGTAAATCCAGAAAAACGAATGAAAAAAATTCGATTTTTCATCCTTCACCTATACTATCTTGCATATCGATTTATCTGTTGTCGTATAAGAGCCGAAAATTCCCACGTAACGTCAATTTATAATCGTCAGACTTTTCCTCCGTGATTGAGAGGTAAACATGCTTTGCAAACTGATGAAAAATTGGTGTAAGTAAATATATATCGATGCATATCTCGTTGCATTTAATTTTTTCAAAAAATATGATTTTTTAATTTTAATAAAGACTTTAATAAAGAAACGCACAATCTCGTGATTGTGACACATTTTTTCTTTTTTTTTTCTTTTTTCATAAGATTGTATATTTAAATGAGTATTACAGAATATGTAAGATTTTTGTAATTTAAATTCTGTAAAGGTAAAGGATTTAATAATCTTTTGATATAACGTTTTAAATTTTTTAATATATATTTTGTTAAGTGTAAGATATTATTTTCTCGAAATTATTTTTCACCTGTTTGACATTAAAATTTAATCGCAAAAGATAATAGAGCAAAAAGCTTAGATAGGTTTAATTTTACTTGTTAATTTGCATAGTGATCTTCGCTTGTTCTTCACTGCGAGATAAAAAAAAAAATTCTGCGTCGTATATATTTATTTACGTTTTTTCGAAGAAAGAAATCATCTTAATTGCAAATCGTTTATTCTTAATTTTAAATTCTTATTTCTTAATCACGTTTTATAATGGATACGACGAATTCCCCTACTGCTGGAAGTGAAAATAAAAAAAAACGTTGAGAAGGTAATAAAAGTCTCATTTTTCACGCGACAAAGTTTAAAGATAATCGATGAATGTGATATTATAACTAAATGTCGAAAAATATTTTCAATTATATCAAATTAAGAGAATTCTCATCGAAATAATTCTTCGCGAACGAAAAATTCAGCGGGCAAAGAAGAAAATTTCGAAGAAATTTTTGCACTAATTTTTCTTTCCTTTTCCGAATAGAAATTTGAAAAAAAGAAAATTTTACTCACTCATAATCTTTTGGATTCATTGTCCCTATTAACATCCTCGTGAAATAGGATTTTTATTGGAAACCGTAAGAATTAATTTCCCGTGTAATTGATAGAAATTTATTTTATTAAAACGCATTGTATTCGTTGAATTTTAATTTTACATCTCATTTTCGCACGTCGAGAGATAATCTTTTACGAGCTTTTCTTTCTAATTCTCTCTCGTTGAAAAAATTCGCGATTATTTTTTGAAAATAATTCAAACATTTGAACGGAGCAAGAATAATACTTTAATAATGGAATAATTAAAGGGAATCTGTGGTGAAGATAAATCTTGTGAAATTTTACAAATGTTTCCACGTTTTTTCCACACCGATTTCTCTTCGACCATTCCCTTCTCAACTCTATATAAAATTTCCTTTCCGTTCAATTTTATTTTTATACAGTTCATCGATGCTTCGTCGTAAAAATCAACCCATTCGACGCATCCATCCCACACACTCGGCATATTCTCTGTCCGTGCAACTCTCTGTAAACGATAATATATATATGCACACCGCAACATCGATTATCACAGACATAGATGGGATCTGATATCTTAGGGGACGTCTAACGGAGGAGTTACGTTTATACCTGTCGCTTTATCGATTGGCTTAATTCGGTGTTAGAACTCACGTTTGAAATCCATGGTAATTTTGAGATCTGGAACGGTCGTAGAGTCACGCACGATCTACATTTATCTGATTACAAGAGAGATGTTTGCGTATCGATGAGAAAACGGATCGCATTGGTTCGAGCGAGAAACCTGTTCTCAATCGTGAAACGTACGAAATTCAAGTTTTACACGATAGATAAAATTCTACAGTTGTACATTTACAATGGCGTTACAATGGTTTGAAATATATAAATTTTCTACTGTTAGAAACGAAACAAAAGTATTTTCTTTTAACGTTGCAGATTGAATCCAAGTAACGTGGACGCAGAATCCATACCCATGACACAGAGGAATAGCGTGCGAAACAATAATCGTCGTTCTCAACGAGAGGACAGTCAAACAGAAGAAGAATCTCGTACGATAAGACAGGTTTGTTGGATTCGATCATCGAGCATTCGGACGAAGAATTTGGGGGGGAATTTGTCGTGATTTTATCCTCTTAAACTATTCGCTGAAACGTTCAGTTTTCAATTAAGGAGGAATTAAACGGTGATGTATCGAAGAGTTTCGTTATATTCTCAGGAATAAAGATTAAAAGAAAAATTCGTAAAATTAGATTTTTCCTCCTTAAGGATTTCGTGGAACAAATTTGGAGAATTGCCACGGAATTCGAAAGGAGGTTAATTCTCGAATTAACTCTTGGGTTAATTAAAACACCGTGTGTTTAACGTGACGAAATGAAACAAAAGCGAAAAGTCGCGGAAAGATGCGAAGTGGATGCTCGCTTAAAAAGTTTTGATTGCCATTGAAATTCGTAAAAGTTCGATACCGCTTCCCCTATTCGTTTCATAAAACACAATTTGCCTAGGAAAATCGTGCACGCTCTCATTCGAATGGTAATTATTGCGCATTTCAAGCAGCAGTTTTTTTCGGGTCAAATCAAAGTAAAGAAAAAAAAAGAAGAAAAAAAAAAAAAAAAAAAACAAGAGAGATCATTTCCTTTGTGCTAATGCAGTGTCGTTTCTCGCCTATTTTTCTCTCAACCGGGTAATTTTTTACTTATCCCGAAGAAATATTCGTTTAATATTCGTTTGATATTCGTTTATTATTAGGTATCAAAAAGTTGGAAATCGTTTATTGCGATTTATATCAGGATTATAAATATTAGATAGGATGTTCGATAAAGAGGGTAGCGTATTAAATTGTGACTAATAATAAGTAATACCTGAGAATCGAATTAATTATCGGCAAACGAAGGGAGGGAAGAGGAAAGTAAACGAATAGAGAACCTAATTAAATTTAATTGCGGCGCAACTTCGATCGAGTTTGATTAATTCGCGTAAAGTTGAGAGGAAAGTTTTTATTTCGTCGTGATATACGATCGAAAACAATTGGCAAGTAGGGCTTGTATCGATCGATGAAAGTTAGTTCACGTCGAAGGGATGAGAGAATTCAGCAACAAAGTTGCTCTCGTTGCTGCATTAAGAGACGAGCGAAAGGATCTTAATGTATTTCTAACTCTCTAAGAAAGAATGTTTCGTTACTCTTCCTATCAATTTTTACTTTTTTTTTTCATTTATAGGCCAAAGTGCCAATTTCTATATTCTCAATAATTTACGAACAATTTTAGAAATTTGATTTGAAAATTAAAAGTTGGAAAATGCAAAGCGAAATGTTATTTCAATTATGCGAATCGAAATTATAAAATTATATTGGACAGGTGGTGAAGATGTTGGTGGCCGTGGTGGTGTTGTTCGTCATTTGCTGGGGTCCAATTCTCGTGGATAACATGCTAACAGCTTATGGATACCTGCCACGCGTAAAAGTTGGCACGTACAAGCATCTTAACACCGCTTTTCAGCTGATGGCTTATTTTAACAGGTAGATCGTCCTCTTTATCAAACTTCCTCTTTGCATTCATTAGATTTAAGTTCTCAGAGAGAACAATTTACAACTTCGAGCTTTTGCGCTCGAATAGCTCTCCATAGTGTTTCGTTTAATTTCTCCATCGAGTTAACGTTCGCGTTCTATTCTCTCTATTTTCTTAAAAGGAACCGTTTGAATGGATGAAGAATAAGTTTCGAGGTGAACAAAAATATATATCTCCTTCCAATCTTTTCAATCTCCATTTTGCGAAATCGATCTAATCCATCTAATTACATTAATCAGAAAAAGATTTTTACCAAACTACAAAGGTAATATTATCATCCTACACTTTTATAAAAAAAGAGAAAGTTATAATTAATAAATATTGCACGTTGAATTACTGAAATCTGTGAACAGTGTCACAGATTAATTATATTTAATTATTTCCATAAAAATCTTCTAGACGAGATTTCCAAGAGGTTTATTATTTTATCGATTTTCATTTCACTTATTTCTATCCACGATGTAATCCAATATTGATGATCATAATCCAGACGCAATTATCGTTCGTGTAACGATGATCCTTCGTTAACATAATAATTCGTCCGCGTAACTACCCGTGCCACGAGAAAATTGCCCTTTGATTATCTTTATTACGTTAACACCACCTAAGAATCCGTAATTTCATCTCGAAACTTTTTTCTCCATTGTTCAAGCGTCGTCAAGCAATGGAGAGAGAGAGAGAAAGAGAAAAAGTTCTTAACCGCAAATTGTTCCCGTTTAGCTATTCGAGCGCAATTAAATCGATAACTTATTTTCCACATTTATCTCTGACACCCATTACTCTCTTTCGCCCAATTTTATTTCATTCGTGCTTCGCGATACGCGTCTATCTTTTATCTGTATTGACCGATATTACAGCATCAAATTGTAAATTTTAATGGTTGCATTGCCGTTCATAAGTTGTTTAACTACCTCAACGTCACTCCACACGCCACACATCCCATCATATATGAAAAATACGAATAAACTTTTGATAATCGCATTTCAAACTTTACGCTTCTCGTTCGAAGTAAAACTTAAGTAAATGCGAGAGAGTAGTTTTCAGAACGATCTTAAAACGATCTTCTCTTCCCTCCGAAGCGTTGGATAAAATTCGAAATCGTTTAAATGCTTATGAACGGGAATGTAAACGACAGGGAAGAAATGAAAAGGATACGAAACTGCGAGTGTTGCGTGTTCCAGTTGCATAAATCCAATCGTTTACGGGTTTATGTCGAAACACTTCAGGGAGAGTTTCTTGGCCGCTGCCTGCGGCAGCTGGTGGATCTGTTGTCCCCGGAGAGGGTACAGGGCGCCGGTGAAGAGGCATCCGAGCCTAAGTCAGACAAGGACGACCAGCATAAGGTACGCAGTTCCTTACTTCTCTTCTCTTCTTTTCTCTTCTCTTCTCTTCTCTTCTCTTCTCTTCTCTTCTCTTCTCTTCTCTTCTCTTCTCTTCTCTTCTCTTCTCTTCTCTTCTTCCCTTCTGCTCTCGGTTAACGGCTGAAGAACGGCTTGCGATTGAACAGTGTGAACATTGTTGTTGTTTAAAAAAAAAGGAAAGAAATATCAATATGTTAAATTTCAGATTGTTATGGAATAATATGTTCGATTCCACGAGACGGTAGCCAAGCAAAAGTATTATCCTGGTCTCCTGTTCCGCGAATGGTCTGTACATATCTGACAAATTGTTTGATCGACATCATGGAAAATATTGTTCCAGGGAGAAACCTGAGAATTAATTACGTTTCTCGATGATAATTTAAGATTTGCTATTATTGGGCAAGTTTTCGGTGCTTTTCACTCTCATCGCTTTTTGGGGAAAGCTTCTGTAAAGGTTTCGAATTTATTTGTGAATTATGTTTTTATTCTTTTTTTGTTTCTTTTTTTTTTTCATTTTTGATAAATAAAAGCGAGAGACGGGCTCGAGTTTTACGAGTCGGGAAGATTTACGAATTCGGGGGAAATTAGAGGGAGAAGGTGAGAAATGGATTGGTTTCGAAGGAAATCGGATTTGCACGTCTGATCAAACGGATCTAAGAATATTTCCAATCGTGGTGCTTTTCATTCTCGCATGCTGTAACGCGATCGAACATTAGTCACGTTACGCCGACCGAAATTTTAATAAATATTTTTATCATTAACCTGACTTTTTCTTATTTGTTAAACTGTCTTTCCAGACTTACGAAACGATCTAACGAAAAACTTATAATTTAAGAAATTACAAAACTCGATCCTTCGAATCTATCCTTCCTTTCTCTTAAAGAGATTAAGAAGAAGAAGAAGAAGAAGAAGAGGAAGAAGAATTAAATCTAACTAATTCATCCCCTTTTTTTTTCTTTTTTTCCTTTTCCACGCAGAGAACAATCGAGAAATAAAAAAAAAAATAAAATTAAATCCACCACGAAGATTTCCTTCCTCTCAAACGAGACTAATAATTTTTAATAATAATTTAACATTCTTTTCGTGAATGTTTCTAACGTTCATGGACCAACATGCCACAACTCGTAACCACGAGAAATTATGATATTCTGCTTTGAACACGTGATTCAGGTGGACGCGAAACTCCTTCCAGGAGTCGAAGTATCGAAACTCGAGCGACAACCATCTCGTAGCACATCCGTGAATTAAACAATTTGGCAACGTAGGTCCATCAGCATCCGAAATATCATATATAGAGGTAGGAGGAAACTCAGTGAAGCGCAATTTCCTGATATAGATAGAACGACGAACTCTTGAACAGTCGGCGAGATATTTGCCGGGTTTATGTGCTTTTTACTTTGATTATTGGACGCTTGGCTAAAAATCGAATCAAGGGAGTTTAGAAGGGGTTGGGAAGGGGGAGTGGGAGGGACTTTCGGTTTTCATAGAGGAACTTTAATAATGGGAATCTTCTTCCAAGCTAATCGGGTGGAAAATGGTTCAAGGTTCAAGTTTGAAGATAAAGTTTTACAGCTTTCATATTTCCTTCATATTGGAAAAATTTCATCTCCAATTTCATTTACATTATTACGATCCCGTTACGAGTATGAGTATGAAAAGTGTATCATTTTCAGGATAAATATTTGTTATTTATACGCGCAGATTTTTCTTATTTCTGAGAATTTTGTGAATAGAAATTGAAAATGAAATTTTTAACGATTTAAAAAGGGAAATGGGAAAAGCTGTGAAAAATTTATGGTTTCGTTATTTTATTTGCGTGTATTTTAATCATTCGACGCATTTTATTTTCTTTTAACCCGTTCTCTTCAAATTTCTTACATTTTTCTTATATCAATATATTAACAATATATGATTCTAATTAAATAGGCATTTAAACTATTAATTAAATTAACAATCGTTTAACAATAACAATTGAAGAAATCGTTGTCCACTAATTCCAAGATACCAAGAATGAAATCTGGCTCGAATGTTTACGCATAAATCCATAATCTTCTAATTAATTTTATCACATCTTTTAAAGATTGAACTCCAAGAAGAATTAAATTTGGGCTAAATTTCATTAAGAAAAAAAAAAAAAAAAAAAAACCCACTCAAGATTTGGCTTTACTAATTTCACAAGAAACGAATCATCCCCCTCTAATTCTTGTCCCTTTTTACCCCGTTTGCTTTCAGATGGACTTGATTATTTCGTCATGCCCGGCCCACGTCGAGGCACTTGTTTCATAGGTAAAAACTGGCCGGCCATTGAACCATGCCAGAAGAGGCTAGAAAGAGGAAGAAACCGTTCCTAATGAGAAAGACGATGCTACTTCGAGCTTACTTCGTTATTGTTGAATAATCAATTTAAATTTCGAAACGATTTTTCACCATTTTTTCGCCAAATCTCGTATCTTCCTCAAGCTGATGCAAATGCTGAATACTCATATTTGAAGGTATATGGATAAGATTTTGAAACATGGATCTGGAATATTGAAAGAACGAAACTTTCAAGATCTAACATAATTCGATATTTAAATAATAATATAATAAAATAATATAAAAATAAAAATCATATACGAATCGATAAAATCATTTACGAATCGGACAAAATCTTTTTCAATCGTCGATATTTTTAAGTGATCACGATGAAAAAGGGGAGAAACATTGCGAAGCTTGAATAGGGTAAACTCTTTCTCAAATCTCTGATTAATTGTAAAGCAATGTAATCTATGTGTCTATTTATTTGTACATACATAAATATGTATATAATATTTTTCATTATTCATAAAACTGCATGCAGATCACCATACGAAGCAAATAAAAGAAGAAAGAATAAATAAAAAAAAAAAAAAAAAAACAGATAGAAACGCATTGTACAAAGGCAAGGGAAGAAATGTCGAAATGTCGGTGTCGACATCACGCAATTGTGAGCTTACATCGATAATTATATATATATGCTCGCTCAAATTATTTAGCTATCAGTCGGAAATCTTGGCCGATTTTCGAACAATGGGAAAAAGAATCGCTCTAATCAATCGTGAAACAACGTACGTAAGCTCTTTACGTATACTTATCAATCACGGTTGACCTGTAAAATGTATCCCCAAAAAAAAATTGTATTATAATTTTTATCACGCGTTAAGGCGAATTCTCAAATTTATACTATATAATATATATGTATATTTATATGCTATAAGGTCGAGCATAAATATTTCTTTTAAAAAGGAGAAACTTTTGAAATTATGCTTCGGCGTATTGGAAGAATCTTAAAATTTAATCTAAACCGTAAGAATATTTCCATTCTCTCTCTCTTGTCAATATTAAGAAACGAAGAAATGAAAAATATTAAGAAATTTGTTTTGATATTTTACAAAGGTATTTATCATTTCGCGTGTACATCACGTTAATAAATCCTTTTCCATTCAAGTTTTCCATTTGAATGCGAAAATTGAATTAAATTAAATTAATTAAAGAGAGGAACAATAATGGTACGAGCTTAATGACTTATCGACACGACTTCCACTCGAATTAATTATGGATTTGTTCAAATTTCTACGATCAGAATGTGTGATGGAAGGATGTGCGTGTGTATGTATGCAAATATAAGCGGGTGACAAGTTTTGTCTGACGAATACGTTTCGTAACACCGTGCCACTTTACACTTTCTCCTTTCCCCAAATTTCCATGAATTAATTCTGTAAAATTATTCATCGGCCTGACGTATGATAATTTACATATAGGATATGTATATATATTTAAATGGTGTCTCCTCGTATTTAATTTTACGAAAGCATTTCCACGGAATTGTAACGATTTTTTACGCGTGCGTTTCCATGTAAATATTGGAATAAATTGTCGAAAGATATGTTAACGTTGAGTTTCATTGGAAATTGTGCAACAGGACGCAATCTTTTGTGAATGGATTATCCTTCCTTTGGTGAAATGGACGAACGAAATGGAAAATTAAAGTTTTTAATTTTGAGAAATAAAGTTGAAAGAAATTGAAAGAAGAAAATTAGAAAAATTGGGATAAAGGGAAATGGAGAAATCATTTTGTCAACGATGAAAACTTGTGCATACATCTTTCATCGATGGAGAAAACGTATTTTACCGCAAATAACATTCGTGCTTCCATTTTCTCTCCGTGACATCGGCTGTGAAGTCACGATTCTCATATTTTCACGTCACGTCACGATATTTGTGTTTGTGAATATTGAAACGAAGCATACTTTTTTCACGCCTCGGATGAATGATCCGATACAGAACAGAGAATCGAGTTGCCCGTTTTAATTTCCACAACAATATTAACTCGAATAATAACGCATAATCTGTTATTCTGAAATTATATTCGATTTGATTAAGTACACGACTTGAAGCACATATTTAAATTAATTACTTTTCAATTTATCGAGCATATCATTATAAAGTCTTGCAGCGTGGCGCTACCCAACGTAAGTTTGATCAAAGCCACGTGGCAGTAATTCGATTTCTCGTCTTTCTTCACTTTCGTCCTCTTGAGATCGATTTGAAATTGAACACCGAATTCCACCTGAAACGCGGAACAAATTTTCGAGGCAATGCTGGTCGATTAAAAAGGGAATTTTTAAATTTTTAAAAAGAGATGTTGAAAAAAAAATAGAAATATTTTCAGAATAAACATTTCTGTTATGCAATTAAATTTTTAAATTTTTGTTTTAAATAACGAATTGGACAAATAATTTTGCGTGAAAATATTTGCAATTGTAAAATTCTATCGGATTGAATATCGAAATCCTCGATATTCTGAAATAAGATATTTCCAATCGAAAACACGTAAGATTTCTCCTAAAATATACCTTCTTTTTTTCTGGAACCAATAGCTGCCTGTTCTCGTCGAGATTCAAAAAAGAAAATCTGATTTGATCGGATCGCTTAAGATTTCCACCGTATATCGCCAAATGCTCGTTCGGCAAAAGTTTGTCGTCGAAATCCACTCTTCCCTCCATTTTTTTGCTGCCTTTTCCGATGCTTCTCTCTTTTTTTTCATTGTTTTTTTCGTTGCTTTTTTCGTTGTTCTTTTTATTCTTCGTTTGTTTTCGAAAAGACTTTGAATTTTCCATGTTGTGAAGAATCTCACCCTCTAACACATCGATAAAAGAAAGTTGAAAGACTAATGAACACGATCCCGTGTTTTGTATCTGAAATATTTAAAACATCATTAAAGATGATTTTAATCACAAATATTAAAATCATCTCAAGTCTTTATTTTTTCACTTTAATTTATCTCATTATTAAGATCATAATGAATTACTCGATCACAGATTAAAAGAGCGCTCGCTCGTGATATATATTTTTCACAAAACATCTTTATTTTTTTTTTTTTTTTTTTTTTTTTGATTTATCGCACACGAGGAGAATAAATTGCTCGACGTGGATTGAAAGTGATCGCTTGTGAGGAGGATTAAACAGTTGGTCGGAATATTTAGATTTCCATGTGGTGAATAATTCATTCGAATCGCGAGAGATTAGAGAAAAATAATTTTTTCTCGTTCGAATTGTGCAAAGTTTGAACGAAAAAAAGCTTTGAAGCTTGATTGTAAAAAAAAAAAAAAAAAAAAAAAATTACAAAAATAATAACTCAAGTAAGTGGAAAAGAATATTAAGGAAAAGATGGAAGTTCGAAATTTGGAGAGATAGAGTGGATGAGATAGAGTGAGTTGGAAAATTTTGAGCACTTGATACGTTGATTACACTTGATATAACTTGGCGCATAAGATGATGATGAATTCCGAGAAACTAATAATCATCTCGAAATGTCTGCGGTTTTGTAATAATAGGGTCGGGTGGAAATCTGTGCCATGCATATTAACAAGATATGTTCAGATTCTAGATGGACATCTTGAAAGGAAATTGCACGAGATCCACGAACGAAGATATTCGGCATCTCATTAAGAAACTATCTAACTTAGCAAATTATACTATATCAAGTTTAATATACTTGATCCGATTCTCAATTATTACGAATCTCTTACAAGGAGATTTCTTGGCCGAAATTTTGTTTAAATTTTCAACATTTCCTTTCGAATCGAGATTCGATATCATTCGATCATTCGCCATCCATGTATAAAATTTTATTCTCGATTCGATGAAGAATTTTTTCTCTAAATTTTTCTCTCGACTCGTATGAGACCCCTACTATTTTTATATTTCGTCTAATTCTCACCCTTTTCAACATCCTTTGAGAGTGTTTCTCGGTAACTTGGTCGAAAATTTTATTCTCGATTCGATGAAGAATTTTTTTTCTAAATTTTTCTCTCCACTCGTATGAAACCCCTACATTTTTATATTCCTAATTTATATTCCCTCTAATTCTCATCCTTTTCAACATCCTTTGAGAATGTTTCTCGGTAACTTGGTCGAAAATTATTCTCGATTCGATGAAGAATTTTTTTTCTAAATTTTTCTCTCCACTCGTATGAAACCCCTACATTTTTATATTCCTAATTTATATTCCCTCTAATTCTCACCCTTTTCAACATCCTTTGAGAATGTTTCTCGGTAACTTGGTCGAAAATTTTATTCTCGATTCGATGAAGAATTTTTTTTTTAAATTTTTCTCTCCACTCGTATGAAACCCCTACATTTTTATATTCCTAATTTATATTCCCTCTAATTCTCACCCTTTTCAACATCCTTTGAGAGTGTTTCTCGGTAACTTGGTCGAAAATTTTATTCTCGATTCGATGAAGAATTTTTTTTCTAAATTTTTCTCTCGACTCGTGATCCCTACATTTTTATATTCCGTCTAATTCTCACCTCTTTTAACATCCTTTGAGAGTGTTTCTCGACTGGTAACTTGGTTTACAAGTTAAGTGAACAACGCACAAGTCGTGCAACCGCAGCGGGAAATTGTTTTCCCGGAATTTGGAGGTAATCGAGGCTGGTCGACGTTGCTCGACTTAATTCAAAAGGATCCACTACTTCGAGATGCTGAACATTAATAAGTTTGATTTGTCGAAAACATGATGACTCGACTTTCAAGGATGAACGATTAAACTCGGATTGAATTGATTAAGAGGGTGGGATTAAAGGATGGAGACGAAACTTGGGGAGTAATTAATAAGCTTGTTAAGCCAAGGACTTTGCGAATTTGTCTTTGTAGGGTAACGTCGATGTTAAGGATAATAAAGAGATTAAAAAAATTGATCATTTTTGGTTGTTTTATATTCAACTCGATTTTATTTTTACATTAGAAATAATTTATTGATAAGATGGATTATTTTTGATATTATTTTGAAGTAAATATTGTGATTTTGAAAATATCAAGGATTATAAAAAAAGAGGATAGGAAACTCGATGTGCCTAGATTTCTAAACTGTAATTTCCTGAACTATTACTCTTATGATAATAATAACGACGAAATTATATTTCTCGCGATCTTTTGATCCATGCTTGAATCATTGGACATTGTCGACACAGATAAAGTTATCGACATTTGTTTTTTCTTTTCGAATCGCGTTCAAATTCGAAAATTCTCGCCACCAGCTCGAATTTTTTGATTCGAAATAATATTTTTCTGAACAATGATTCTTCATTAGGAGAACAATATTGATAACTGTGAACTTATACGTTTTACAAAAAATTAAATTTGAATCGATATTGATATTTTTAAGAATTGACGTATGGTTATGAAAAATAGATTATTTTCAAAGAGATTTATTTTCCTATTTTTTTTTTTTTCTCCCCTTGTACATCGTACATCATCCGTTTATTGTGGATAAATTGAAAAAGTATTTGCGCTGTTGACAACTGTCGTCGATTAATTTCGATTGAATAATTAGATTAGATTGAATAAATTTGCAAACAAATTTGAACGTATTTGGAAGATTATTGGAAAAGCAGGAATCGTTGGGAGTAAAGGGAAATTGTTTGGGACGATGCATGAAAATGATCGATAACAAGACAGGATGAAACATAATGGATCGCAATTAATTCGTCGCATCAACGCAAATAATTAGTTGTTCCTTTCGCGTATCGCTTCTTCAATTAATTTTGATACAACATGTTTGTATGTTTTCACGATCTAATTATAATTACGATTCCACTATCGGTATTAAATTCCTTTCTATCTAGTTATTTATTATGCGTGATGAATTAAATTGTCCAACTAATTAGTTCTAATTCTCGATATTTGAGCACGTAAACTAGTATCGAGTTTTGGATAAATCGCTTTTGTCGGTAATGAAAACTCGATTAACATTGGATAATAGTCAGCACAAAGCTATTTATCATTAAATTGAAATGACGAAGATCGAAGGAAACAAAAAGATCTGATGCAGAACAATTTTTTGCCGATTTTATTTAATTTCTTTGTTTATTTTTTTTAGTTTTTGAAATTTTTAGATGAACGATAAATGATCTAGAAGCTATTTTATCGATTGAAGGTATTCGTGACTAAGTTGGTTTCCTTTAATACCTATCGTTGATATTTTTATCGACCATTCAACAGATATTTTCTTACATTTACGTGTAGCATTGAAAATTTTTGATAAAAAAAAAAAAAATATATATATATAAAAATATTAATAGAAACGTAAACTTACAGACATTTTCAACTCTACCGGTTTGTCACTGACAACCTCGAAACGAGCAACTCGAAACTGAGGCTTCAAGATATAAGATGGCACCACTCCTCGCCCAATCAGTTTTACGCTCCATCTCGTTTTCGTTTTCGAGCTGAATACTTCGAAATACTCTTGATTCTAATAAAAAATACATTCACTCGATCATTATCCAATAGCATAAAAATATAATTTAATTTCTGCACAGATCTATAAAATATATTTTTCACATTCCATCGATATCGATCAATGGCTACAATATGAACTTAGTTTCAATCGAAGAAGAAAATTCAAAACACTAACCTTTCAATTAATCTTTAAAATTACGAACTCTTCTTCGAGTTGGTAATTTTTTTATATCTATTATTTTGATTTTTTTTAAAAATATCTTTCCTCAAATATTATCAATCTTTCGATGAAAAATCATCAACGAACAAAGAAACTTTTAAATCATTAATTAAAGAAAAAAATTTTTCATAAGCGTCTACAAGTGATAAAAGTCTTGAAAGTTAAAAAAACTTGGAATCAAAATCACGATGTCCCACGGAACCAAAAAGTATTTCAACAAAACTTGTCGTTGCGCGTGCAAATGGAAGTGTAATTGTTTAATTCCACGGACGAAAAAAGCTTATCCGGCTTTTGGTAGCACCGCAGAACGAGATGTGAAAATAGGATTGCATCCAAAAATGTATAAAGGTTTAACAATATCACCAGCAGTAGGATTGTACCATCCTAAATTTCCTTTTAAATGCAAACATCCAAGTATAAGGTATATATATATATATATTTGTAAATCCTTTTGAAAATAAAAATCTTTCGATGTCGATCAATATACATGAAGCTTTTTCTTCCGTTTAAAAATTAGTTGGAAGAGACAGATGGAAACGAAAGAATTCTCATTGACCATGGGAGGAAGATACGAGGGAAAATTGAAGGCGCAAAGGGAGCAATTGAAAATGGGTCGTGGTCCAGGAACCCACGAGATCCTTCAATGGCCCGACGACGTGCTGCAAAAACCTTGCAAGACAACGAAAAGAAACGTTGGATTTGGCGGAATTGTTCCTCTTTTCCAACCTTCTTGGCCGTCCGTTACTCCAGGACCAGGCGAATGATTCAACAAATTAATCTCCTTCCACTTCGATCAATTTTTAGTAACATTTTTTTGCTCCTCGTTTCAGGATACTCAAAGTATTATCCTTATTATTACATCGACAAGAGAGAACGCGAGGGTCTCTCCTGCGTTCCAACGTTCGAGTACGATGGTTTGCAACCAAGATCCAAGATCGAAGTTAAACCTTGGTCACTGCCCTGCATCTTGTACGTAATAACGAACTCCAATTTTCTTTTTACATATATTTTCTTCGTTCAAGAAGACATCCCATTTTCAATTTCTTTCTTATTCTTATCGATAGATACAACGTGAAGGATTCGAGGACGATGGACGCTTTTTTAAACAAAGTCGTTGGAAAGAGGGGTCCCTACGATTTGTTCACAGGTTGGCTAGGATAAATACGTACGTTGGATACTCTATATCGTTTCATTTTTTCTTTCTTTTCAGGGCCAAGAGACGACACCACGATCAAAAATTACTTCGCAAAACCGAAAATAAAATTCGACAACTGGCCCAAATCGATCCCATGCGAAATGGACAAATTAAAAAAGAAATCGAATTATTACAAGGGACGTTGGGGCACTTGTCCAAGGTATTCTTGTTACAAGATATATATATATATATCGTTGATCAATCATTAAAAATCCCTTTCTCCTGATTTTTAATTCTCTGAAATTTAATCCTCTCTTGCGAGACGAAGATCGAAAGATGAAGTCCGATAAAATTTTTTGACAGATTTCTAAAGGCATCGGGCATAAGGATGATGTTGAAGGATATATCGTTGTGTTACAAGGATCCAAAGGAGCCGGGGCCCGGCTATTACGATCCAAAATCTCCGAGGAAGCCAAAGAACATGAAGAATTATCCGTTCAACATGAACACCGAATTCATCAGACCGCCCCCGTCGACGGAAATTCGACCTGGACCAGGAAGATACACGATCGAGAAGAAGAGAATTATAGAGGGACACGGATGGACGTACATCTTCAAGAGCAAAGCTCCGCGAACCAAATTTATTTACATCCCCTCGTACAGTTACTTCTAATTCTTTTCCCCTCTTCGTTTCCCCTCTTCGTTTCAATTTGTTTATTAAAATATCGTTATTAAAATAAAATATTGAATTTCGAGGGATAGCTCACTTTGTAATCTTCGCTCGGTTGAAAAGTAACCGGAAGCTTCAAGATAGAGCCGGTTTCGATCGTTCTTCCAGGAGGCACGAAAAATGGTCCAAATGGGTTCAACACGCTCACTTCTATCTTCACGCTTCTATTTAAAATAGAAAAATTTCTTTCTTGCTAAATGTTCCTTCTTCTTTCTTTCTCTCTTTCTTTCTTTCTTTCTTTCTTTTTTTTTTTTTTTTTGTTTTTCTTAATTCTTATTTTGTCGCTCGCAATACTCACTGAGTGGAAATATTTTTAACGAAGAGAAATTTTCTGGAGGACATGCCAATCGCTGTCGGCTCGAATTCTATTACACGATCCCCATTTAAAACAACGATTTCGGGTTTAATGATCGGGCATATTAATTTTGCAAATAATCGTTCGTCGTGTTTCGCGCCGATTTTCGTCTCTATGTTGATCACGCACGTTACGAAAATCGTGGAAACGCAAGGCTCGAAGACTTCCAATAAACTGATCTCACCAGCCGACATATCGATCTCAGGTTCTTCTATTTTCTTTTTTTCTTTTTTCGCTTTTGAAAAATTAAAAAATTACTTTTTCTTTTCACTATACACACACACACATATATATATATTTTTAATAACCAAATACCTTTCTTCGATTTTTCTTCTTTTTCAGACTTTACCTCCTGATTTTCATTAAGCTCCTCCGTGTTCATCTTTAATCTAAGACCTTCCTCGAAGATCATTTTCTTCGGTAATTTTGGTTTGAACATAAAATTAATATTAATAATTTCATCGTTCTGCAAAATGCCAGAGTGTGGCATAATAGTCATCCTATTCGAGGAGCTGGTAAATTCGTAACAACCTGTGAATTTTTTACGTTGTTCCTTGATGATTCCGCAGGTGCAATAAGGATACGACGCCAAATTGAATCCTCTCAGATGAACGGACACCTTAAAAATCAAATTAAAAAAAAAAAAAAAAAAATCTTCTTGAATACATCAATATTTATTTGCTTACAAAAGACTCGTTCACCTTTTTTTTTTTTTTATCTTTACCATGGAATACGATCCACAAGGGGTCGCGGGAAATTGTATAATTTGCTCGCTCAACTCGCAAAAAGTATCTATGATGTACGCGTAAACCTCAATCAAATTCTTCTGCTTCCTTTCGTCCAGATCGTACATTTCCATCGTATCGTCCAACAATCTCTTTTTGTCTTCCTCCTCTGTATAAAAAAAAAAAATTTTAATGCGCGTGTAAAAAAACGAATTCTGGAATTACAACTCTTCCATATAATATAATTTTTTACCGCAAGGATGCTTGTCATTCGCCTCATCTAACTCCGTGTTGTCTTTAAGCTTGTTGTTATTATCTCGATCGATAAGTTGACGCACTATTTTCGATTTCTTTAGATTTACGTGGAACGGGGGAGGAATCCCGCGATACTCAAAAATCGTCATCTGCTTGTTCATCCGACTCTTCAATTGATTCAGCAACGATTGTTTCTTTTTCCCAGCGAGCTCGGCCAAAGTGAAAACTTCCACTAGAAATCTGCGAGAAAAGAAGAGAAAGAAAAAGATCTCTCATCGATATTTTCGTATGGAAGTATATACATATATATATATATATATCTTTTTCTTCTTCTTTTCTTCTTTTTTTGGAAATATACCTTCGTTGAAAAATTAAATATACCTTCGTTGACCAGCCAATCCGTTCGCCCCAATTTTGTTCCCAGGGATATCCATCGGGCACGGGGAATAGATCAAATGAAGCTTGATAGTTTCTCCGGGGAGAATGAATCCAAAGTTATTCGGTTGTATATCAGCAGATAACGGAAGATCTATAAAAGCGTACTCTTGAATCAACAGCGACTCGTTCGTCAGTGTTAATTCCGCGAAGACAGATTCGTGTGTGTGAACGAATCCTAGATCGATACTCGCTGGTTCTGTTGGAACAGAAGAAGGGATTACGAATTTTTGTGCAAACGATTTGTTACCACCCATACCTAATATCAAACCGTTACAAGGTGTTAGACTGGCGATGGTTTTCATTATCAATGGCGGCGGTCTTTCTGAATCTTGCGACAGGATTTGCACTTTGATCGGAAACTCTAATATGTTGGACACTGGATTGTAAAATCTAAAAAAAAAAAAAATGTAGAAATTTTTATGAATTTGTTTGCACATTTTTATGAATTAATATATATTCGTACCGTTTAGAAGAAGTAATTATATTCGATTCGGGTATCAATCTCACATTAATTTTGCAATGAGATTTGGCATCTATGGTGGTCGATTTCGGATGAACTGACACGTGATCAATCAAATTCTTCGGTGTCTTTATTAAAAGCTCGACCATTGTATGCCCTAAATATCGATCGATACCGTGATGTGTGATTAATTAATATCATCATTTGGTATCGCCGATGACTTTACGAAAAAAAGCTTACCAATGTTGAAAACGTTGAACGTTTGTTGAGAAACGTCCGAATCGATCATCACGATGCCCAGATCGATGCAAAGTGGATCCAGACGGATTTGATGGCCCAAAACCTCGGCCCAAATAGGAATACTCTGTTTCGAGGAAACGGGTGAAATTATTTCACTAATCCAATGTTACACGATATTTTTAATTTATTCGTATTGGGAAATGACGAACCTTTTTCCCCAACATCCTGTTTCCGCTCAAGAAATTAATTTCCAAGATCTCGTGGTGTAGACCTACGTATTTTGGTCGAAAAATAATTACGAAATCACACTTAAATTTTGGAAGAACTTCGATCTGATACAACTTTCGAGATTTCTCGCTCTCCAAAATATTCTCGCTACCGTTCCCTTCTTCGTTGCCTAAAATCGTGCATTCGAGAATTCGTTAGGATTCATCTTTCTTTCTTCGATTAATCAAAATATCTGAACCGACTTATGCACAACATAGAGGATTCTTCGCTTAATATTATATCCTGCTCGAAGCGCCATAAGAAGCAATGATCTCGTTCCTTCCTTTCTTGGATTATGATAGAAAATGACTTTTTGCCGTTATTGTAGACCGTAAGAATTCTTTCGTTCAACTTGGGATCGTCGTACTTCCAGATCGGAGCTGAAGGAAATCTGTGATCACCAATTTCAACGACGTTTAATTTAATGTCAAAAACTTGGAATTTCGAGAAAATTATTTGAATGAATTTTCACCTAAGCTCCTTGGGCTCCACAATTGGTTCGGCAATTTGCGGTGTGCAATGAACGTGAACGCGAAACTCGTGGAAATTATTATCGTAATCTGGACTCAGGGTGAGGAAAGCAATCTCCGCCGTCACTTCCTCTTCGTGTATCGGTGAAAATTTTACATTGATCACCACGTGCAAGCCAGGTTTAACCCTTGCAGCATCCATAATTTCGATCTGCGTCCGAAATAATTGTTTTCAGTTTTGAGTTCTCTCTAATTTTAGAAATTTTAAAAAACTTGTAAAAGTATAGAAACCTCGATGATTCCCGGCTCCCATATTTCGGTGTACACCTTGTGGAATCGTATATACGCCCATTTCGACGTTTTATTTGTGATGATCACTTTACGGGAATACTTTTCTTTCGCCTCGAAATCCTGATTAAACAAGAGGCGACAATTGTTGACAATTTGAAAGAAGAGAAATTTTTCAAAAGATCGAGTACCTCAAAAATGACAACACTTGGAGTTGCATAGAAGCAAGTATCTTTCGGAAACGTTTTCAACGTCGTTTTGATGGATTTTTTCAGTACAATTTTTTTCAAAATTATTTCATCTCCTTTTTCTTTCGTTTTATCGTTTTCTTCGAATCTCAAATCCTCGATTTTATTGTCCTTCTCACTCGCCTCTGCCACTCGTCCCTCCGTCACTGGAATATTTTTATCCTTCTCCACAATTGCGAACTCTTCGTCTCGAACCCCTTCGAAAGAAGTTTTCTTTACAGAAGTGATTTCTTTAATTTTATAACTCTTCGAACATATGTATTTCGGTTTCCTCGAAAGAATTTCGTCGTTCATCTCGCGAATGATCTTTGCGATAATTTCCATCTTCCTCTGTTCTCGAAGCCTCTCCTGCTTCTTCTTTTCCTTTTTTTTCTTCAATATCTGTTTTTTTTTTTTTTCGATTTAAGAAAACTTAAAAATTCGAGTTAGAATATCTTTGAAAATTTTAAAAGATTTAGAAAGATTTCATCCACGAAAAAGAAACTAACTTTATCGAAGATTTTAGAATCGGGTGAAAATGACTCGGGTATATTGTACTCCCATCTTATTCTGTAAATATGTATCTCAAATGTGTCAAAATGTCGTTTGTTAATAATTTTTAATCGAAAACGATTCCAAAATACCTTAAGATATTATTCGAACGAATCTTTTGCCCATTTTGTTTCCTTTCCTTGAAATGGCAACTGCGACGCCATTGTTCTTTCAATAAAGAGATCTTAAAAATATTTAAAGATTAAAATTGTCCCGTCCTATCTCTCTCTTTTTTTTTTTCGTGTATAATATTCTCTTTACCTTCAACCTCATTACAGCTGTGCAAAATTTCATCACTTTATATTTGTTCCAATACTCTTTCCACATTTCATATTCTCTCTTTTGTCGAAGAATTTTCAATTTCGTCCATTTCGTTAACTCGTACTCCTTCTCTTCTTCTTCGATCGCCTACTTTACAAAATAAATTTACAAAAAAAATCGTTCCAACAACGTTTTATCGATATTATTTTCTCGAATCGTCTCTAACCTTTTCATCTTTATCCTTCACTTTTAAAGCCTCTTTCTTCAAACTTCTTTTATATTTTTCCAAAGCTACGAAACCTAAACGGATATAAGAATAATAAGAATTCGACGATCCGAAATCGTACTTTAGAGAAAACTCTAATTCTAATAACGTACCTTTCCAAGTTTCTTCATTTTCTCTGT